AAATCGTTCGTTAAACGACAATTCCTTACAAAACCTCGTTGAAGTACCATACAAGGAAATCGACATTATCCTTAGTATGCACTGACTGACTGAACGTCGTTGTTGTTGACAACTTGTGATAAAAAATTCCTCAACTAAAGGCCAATGATGGTAACATCATAAGAGGTGAAAGCAAAGCTGATTTTTAAACCAACCGAGTTCATCTCGAATATATATGCAAACATGTCTCAACCATAAGAAGCGTGAAGTCTATTCGTGTGATACGCAAAAGAAAGATCTGAACTAAAGGAACATACCGAAAGTATGTCACCTCTCTGATATGAACTTCCTAATATTTCACCGTTCCGAGAAATGGAATTTCTCTACCAATCTTGATCCCAAAGAGAACCAATATTCGTAACTCTGCATTAAATATGTTTATGTCAAACTGAATACTCGACTATAAAGATTGACTGACAAAGAAACATTTCACCAAGTATTTCTTCCTTAGGAGAATATCCATTCTATTTATACGTGAATCGATGAGATTCTGTAACAACTACTGTCAATTGAACAATCCGTTATCCTTTACCTCGTATCGATGACTTATTTGATCAGCTTAGAGGATCCATTGTGTTCTCTAAGATTGACTTACGGTCAGGATACTGTCAAATCCCTGTTATGAAAGATGGACAAACTGACAATCAAGAATCGCTACCCTTTACTATGTATAAACGATTTGTTCGAAGAACCTGTTTGTTAGAAGCTATAGACAGCTCGACCTTGTTGAATAAACTGATGCCTTTCATGAAGCGATTAATGAATTAATTGCTTATCGTCAAAAACGTCGATGTAACCTGATTGAATAAGTGAAGTAAATTGATGCTAACAAAACAAATCGATTGATTCGTTTGACGTAAAAGATTGCAACGTGGTGACAATACAGAACGAGACGTAAAATAGTAACACCAACAGTGAAAGACTGAAGAATGAAGAAAATGTAGTTGCACTGACCATACAGCTTAGAATAATATTTATGACTAACTCGTAATGTTCAAGGACGATATTATTTCAACATGAATGCAACTTAGATTACATGAGGAAAGTTATAGATGCAATTCTAAGTCTAATCTCTCAGGATTTGCAAACTCGTCGTAACCGGCTCCAGGACCCGGGAAAGCCTTAGCAAACTCTAGTTTGTCTAAAAGCTCGTCAACAAAGAAAGAAGAAATAAAAAGTTTCCTCTGACTGGAAGCCATGAAGTTCTGTCTCACCGCATCGTCTAAGAATTTGAGAAGGTTATTGAAATAACCGTCAATGTTTAAAAGACCAATGGGTCTATTGTGTAACCCTTCAGAAGCCCACGAGATCAAGGTAAACAAACCTTCCATAGTGTCAACTCCTCTCGGAAGAACAATGAAAGCTTCCACGGCATGATTCATCTCAAAATATTTGTAGTAATTACTGGAAACTGTGTGCTCTACGCCGTATGTAGGTCCGTAGACCCGTCGTGTTGCTATGTACCCAGGAATGAAATGTAACGCCCCGAAATCTGGCCCAAAAGAATTAATTAAATTGTTAGAGCAATTGAATACGAATTGGGCCCAAAAAGGGGTTAAAATTATAATTTGGATTCTAAGCCCAACTTTTATGTCATCTCGTAGGAAATATTTTTGTGATCGCGTCGGTTCAGACGGCTCGCGAATCGGAGTTTTGGAGCTCATGTTATGGCCGTTTAATCAGGTATTTTGGGTCCGAAGCCCAATCCTTTTAGGAATGGGATCATTAAATAAAACCTAAACCTATCTTCTTCCGTTTAGATCTGAGAGCCGCGATCTTCATCGTCACTTTCTTCTTTTTCATTTTCGATCGCCGGTCATCCCCCCTGCCGTTCGACCACGCCGGCGTCGCATAGCCTCCGCCTCCTCGCCGCACCAGCCAACCTCGCTCAATCGCCGCGCAACCCAAACACCACGTCGCCACTCCAGGTTAGCCCTCATCCCATCTTCATCTTCCTCGCAATTTCCTTTGCAATTGGATCTCTGGAGCAGCGCCACGCCGAGTCGCCACCTTCGCCGGCGGTCGTTGCGACTCACCGGACTGATACATCGCCGGTTCGCCGCTGTTGCAGCTAGGGACTCCGCCGGACAGAGGCTATCACCGGAGCTGCTCCTCTGTTCGTGATCTCTGGGAGCTGCTGCCGCCTCGCCACTATACGCCGCCTCCACTACCGGCGTCCGCCATCCTCGCCGTCGAGTTGCAGCGCTGCCACGCCGAACGCCGGTCACCGCCAGATTGATTGGTCGATTTCGTGTTTTGGCTCAATTTGACCCGTTGTTCGTTTGATTTCATTGATTTGTTTTCCGTTCGAGCTATCGATTCGATTTCTGCGTAATCCACGTCCGTACTATGAAGTTAATAGCGTTCAGAATAGATTTAATGGTTTGGATCGTTATATATGTTTATGCTATAATTTGGCTAAATTGGTTAATTGAATTAAATTGATTAGTTGAATTGAATTGTTGAGGATTGTGAATTGACTGAACAGGTTTGACTTTGACTTGGGTTAGGTCCTGTTTGACTTGGGCTTTGACTGGATATTCTGTTGACGTAGGTTTGACCTAATGGTTAAATCCAAGACTTTAATGAATTAATTAAGTTAATTAATTAATTCTAATCAGTAATTAGGATCAAATGGTTTATTATGTCGAACATAGAAACTGGCCATTGCTCGGGCGGCTGCAGGGCCTGGTCAGTGAGGTTAAGACGTGCGCACGAGGGTCTGTGATCTTGGGTTTGAGGC